AATCCTCTACATCCAGCCTTTGTGGATGCATCAGAGGAAGGGACTGCTGCATTAGAGTAGCTACAATTTACAGTAGGATATTGGACAGTGCAGGCTGCTGGGAAGAATGCAAGTTTCAGGTCCCCTGGTGCCCCAACCTGCAGCCCTTTGGTATGTGATGTGTGGCCCATTCATAGTGGGAAATATTTTTGTTTTGTTCATAGTGGAACTTTTATTATGGGGTAATAAATTTTGATCTCTACAAGCATTTGTGTAATATGTTCCCAGTGGTTTGTTGTTATTGTCTTCTGCAAACATATCCCCAACCATAAATGTAGCATGCCCACACTCTCTGAACTTTATTTCCTCTATTAGAGCTGCAGTTTTTGACAGTCCTCTCAAGCATTGAATATATTGAACAATATTGTTGGTCCTTCTATGTTTTATTTGGGAAACACATAACGTTCACAGCATATTTTTAAAAAAACGTAACTCCGGTTCTGACAGAGTCACTGGCCCTCGGCGTGACCCTGAGCATGGATGTGTACTTTTCTGCAGAATCAAGAGCTGTTGAACTGCAGATGCAGCCATTTTTTTTCTAGTTCCTGAGGAGGGCATTTACCGAAATGACACAGGTACTGAAGGTTAGAGCATAGGAGTTGGGTGCTATGAAACATGGGGCGGTAAACATTTATATATTATTTACTATGGGGTTGTTTATCTGCTTGGGAGCGTTTACTAAAACTGGAGAGTGCACAATCTGGTGCAGCTGTTCATGGTAGCCAATCAACTTCTAACCAGCTTGTGCAATTAAGCTTTGATAAAAAAAAAAAAAACTTGGAAGTTTATTGGTTTCTATACAGAGCTACACCTGATTGTGCACTCTCCAGTTGTAATAAATCAACCCCTTTGTCTCATCTGCATTAAAGTATTCTTACCTGCCTGATTGCAATGTACTCTGAGCTGTGCATGCATGCTATACGGTTTAGGCATCTGCAAAGATTAATGATCAGTCGGCCAATCAAAAGGGCTGAACATAAGAATTTGTAAAGACCGATTGAAGATATCAGCTGCCAGCATGAGCTTGTGGGCTGGAGTGTAGGTGAGTATAGTTCCAGTTTAATATAACTTTATCATATCAGGATTTATGAAATATGCAGTGGGAAACAGACAGAAATGTGGCTAAAATGTTTATGATATTAATAGGCTGTTGCAGGGGCGGACTGACAACTCATGGGGCCCCTGGGCAATAGGGGATCATGGGCCCCTGTGTCCTTGCCCAAACTCAAAAAAGCCTATGAAAAAGGTACCAAGGGCATCTCATGGGGCCCCCTACTGACCCTGGGCCCTCCGGCAGTGCCCGAGTTTCCAAATGGTCAGTCCGCCCCTGGGCTGTTGGCTTTTGAGATGTTTTCCTAATGTTTTTAATTACTTGGGCCTGGGTCGTGTCAGAGACACTTTAAACTGGAAAGCTTTAACACACATATTTTATGTGTTACCTGGTTGTGCAGACCTGCCAAACCACATTTAGATATACCTTTGCCCTTCTTATTTAGGATAATACTAGGTATTTAGAATCTTCTGCTAGGAAAGTTTAATGGAATTTATTATAACCTTCTTGCATCTAAATCTAAGCTGTTCAGTCTTAGGACTTTACTTATAAATATGAATTTTGAGTATGACAACCCTTTCCCTACTCAGTTTGAGGACCCCAGATCTCATTATCTGCTATCCATGATCCTGAATCATGCCTGACCCTGTTACTGACCAAGCTTTCATTTGACCTGCCTCTGAATTACCTTTGCATTGACTACCCCTTGCCTGTCTGCTGCCTACTTGTGTTACCTACCTCAGAGTGGACTCTTAGCCAAGATTTTGCGTATTGATTCTGTACCTCCTTGCCTACACATTGCCAACCTCTGCTTGCCTATAACCTCAATCCTGCTCGTAATTTGGTGACTTCCTGCCCAACCATTACCGAAAGTGGCTTGTGACTTGGCTCTGCTCTCTACTGGTCCGAGTGAAATTGGAGTGCCTTCATTGATGTGGTTCTGCTTACCTGACAGTAGCGCCCCCTAAATTCAAATCTGCTGTTTCAGCTTCCTGACACCTGTGCCCTTCCATTGCCGTAGCAGTCTTTGTCTCAAACTCCAAGGGTGTTTGGACAGGAATTGTCCAAGAGGCCACCTACATCATCTTGGGCTTCTCATACAGGTACATAGTGACAGAGAGGCTAGATGCAAAATTAATTTGGATCCCTGATGTAAAGACAAGCTCATCCTATGAAGTACAATGACTAGGTAGCTAACTAAACGCATTGGCTTGTCGAATATCTTGGCAGGTAAAATAGTAAACATTATATGTATTTGAACTGTATATTTAACATTTTGCCTGAAAATTCCACTTTACCTAAAAAAAAAAAAAATAGCAAGTGCAAAGAATTCAGAGGAGTCACGAACTGAAATCACTTAAGCAGGGCCGGACTGACAACTCATGGGGCCCCTGTGTCCTTGCCCACACTCAAAAAAGCCTATAAAAAAGGTACCAGGGGCATTTCATGGGGCCCCTACTGACCCCGGGCCCTGGGCAGTGCTTGATTGGTCATTCCGCCCCTGCACTTAAGAGCACTGGAGCATATTATAGCATATTTAAACCCAGACAAGGCATGGACACTTCATTCAATGTTCCACCAGTGAGACTCTCCCACACACAAAGGCCAGGTAATTCAATACATTACCATCATCATTTAATACACTTAGCATTATTTTATATTGAAATGTTAACATAAAGGACCACTGTCATGAACAATATTGTATTCCAATTATATGTGATTAATAACCTATAATGACAGCATTTGGTGTATCTACAGTTGCAAGAAAAAGTATGTGAACCCCTTGGGATTACGTGGAGTTTTGCATGAATTGGGCATAAAATGTACTCTAAACGTCATCTAAGTCACAACAATAGAAGAACACAGTCTGCTGAACATAATACTACACAAACATTAGATGTTGCCATGGTTTAATTGCACATAACATGTAAACATTCATGCAAAACTCCACGTAATCCCAAGGGGTTCACATACTTTTTCTTGCAACTGTATGCCACATACCTTTATGTATATTCTTCACACTTTCATAGGAAAGAACCTTATAACAGTGGCAGAGGTTGGGGCTCCAGCACAAAAACCTTCTTATTTCTAATAACTATTCACCAACATTTTTTTCTTCTCCTACACTGAGAAATGGTACACTTTATAATAAGTCCTGCACAGTTTTCTGCATGACTCCAACAACGTTTGTCCAGTATATCACATGCCACACATTTAGGCTTCATGCACATGGGCATAATTAAAATATTTATTACTATGTTGGATCTTGCTACCAATAACTTGCAGAAAACAGCCCATGAAAAAAATGCACATAATGGTGCACAAACTACTTGGGTTTATGACTGTTCAAATGCACATATGTCTGTACAGCATCTAGAAGTGTTTAATTCTTCAACTTCTAGATGCTTCTTTATGCTTGTATGCTTGTAAAAGCATTTAGAAGTGTATAGGCCCCAAATATGTGAAAGCATTTTTAATGCTGCTCAAAATTATGGAGCTAAATGCTGCTATTCATGGACACATTGGCTATCACACACCTCAGATCCTCAAATAAAAAAAAAATCCATGAAAATCTGAAAGCAAAGTTTTTTGTGCCCATATACATACAGTCCTGGCTACAAATGATGGCACCACTGCATTTCTGTCAGATAATTCATCACTTTGCCCATAAAATTGTTGCAGTTACAAATATTTAGGCATTCTTGTGTTTATTTCTTTTGTTTGTATTGGCATGACACAAAAAGGTGGAGAAACAAATAGCCAAATCTGACACATTCCATGCAAAACTCAAAAAATGGACTGGACAAAATTACTGGCACCCTCAATTTAATATTTAGTAACACACCCCTTGGAAATAATACCTGAAATTAATGGCTTCCTGTAACCATCAATGGGTTTCTTCAACCTCTACTGGAATTTTGGACTGCTCTTCTTTCGCCAACTACTCCAAGTCTCTCAGATTGGAAGGGTTTCTTTTCCTAACTGCTGTTTTGAGATCTCTCCACAGGTGATCTATGGAATTGAGATCTGGACTTATTGCTGGCCAGTTCAGTCCTATCCAGTGCTTTGTCTGAAGCCATTTCTGGGGGCTTTTTGACATGTGCTTTGGGTAATTGTCCTGCTGTAAGACCCATGACCTCTGACGGAAACCCAACTTTCTCACATTGGGCCCTACATTGCATTCCAGAATTCTTTGGTAGTATTCAGATTTCATAATCCCATGCACACAGACAAGACATCCATTACTTGAATCAGCAAAGAAACACCAAAATATTAGTGAGCCTCCACCATTTTTGACTGTAGGGACTGTATTATTTTCTTTAACCACTAGCCTACAGGGCACTTATACCCCCTTCCTGCCCAGGCCAGTTTTCATCTTTCAGCGCTGTCACACTTTGAATGACAATTGCTCAGTCATGCAACATTGTACCCGTATGAAATTTTTATAATTTTTTTTAGACAGATAGAGCTTTCTTTTGGTGGTATTTAATCACCTCTAGGTTTTTTTTTGCTAAACAAACCAAAAACAACTGAACATTTTGAAAAAAACACATTTTTTTTCTTAGTTTTTGTTATAACATTTTGTAAATAAGTGATTTTTCTCCATCATTGATGTGCGCTAATGAGGCTGCAATGATGGGCACTGATAGTCTGCACTGATGGGCACTGATAGGTGGCACTGATGGGCATTGACAGGCATCACTGATGGGCACTGAAAGGCAGCACTCATATATGGCACTGATAGGCGGCACTGTTAGGTGGCACTGACTGGCACTGTTAGGTGGCACTGATGCACACTGATAGGCAGCACTGACTGGCACTGATAGGCGGCACTGACTGGTACTGATAGGTGGCACTGACTGGCACTGATAGGTGGCACTGAATGGCATTGATAGGTGGCACTGACTGGCACTGATAGGTGATACTGAAAGGCAGCTCAGATGGGCACTGATATGTGGCATTGATGTGCACTGGTAGGCACTGATATGTGGCATTGATGAGGCACTGATGGGCGCTGGCAGGTGGCATTGATGAGTACAGACAGCTGGCATTGATGGACACTGACAGGTGGCACTGCTGGGGCTACACTGATCATCAGGGCACATTGATCATCAGTGCTCTGATGATCAGTGTACATGTCCCCTCCGAGGAATACCGATTACCGTCTCTCCTCTCCTCTCCAGCTGTCAGCGTGACAGCTCGTGAGGAGAGAAATGCTGATAACCGGCATTTCCCTATTTACATGTGATCAGCTGTGATTGGACACAGCTGATCACATGAACGAGCCGACATCTTCGGCTCTTTCCATTGATCAGTGATCCACTGTGCCCGAGGGACACAGCGCACCACCGATCGCCGCACTGCTCACTCCCAGAGCCGCGCATGCGCGGTTAGAATGGGAGGACATCATATGATGTCCTCCCAGAACGAGAGAACCGCCTTGCACCCGTCATTGCCTTATATGGCGGGTGGGAGGCGGTTAAAGGCCTCATTTCTCTTTCTGCAAACAGTAGAATGATGGGCTTTACCAAAAAGCTGTAATTTTGTTTGTCTCTCCACAGTACATTGTCCCTTTCAGTGCTGTGACAACAGTGAGATCCTCCGGAGTCTCCTATCATAGCGTCCCTTTTCATTCAGATGGTGACTTATAGTGCAAGCTGGCACAGCTGTACCCTGTGCCTGAAGTTCAACTTGAATTTGTCTGGAAGTTGATCGAGGCTCTTTATGCACCATTCAAACAATCCTTTGTTGCAGTCTTTGACCAATTTTTCTCTTTTAGTTCACGTCCAGGGAGATTAGCTACAGTGCCATGGGTTGTAAACTTCTTGACAATGTTGCGCACAGTGGACACAAGAATATTAAGATCTTTGGAGATGGACTTGTAACCTTGAGATTGTCCATGCTTTTCCACAATTTTTGTATTCAAACCCTTAGACAATTCTTTGCTGCTCTTTCACTTCTCCATGCTCCATGTGGCACACAGAGACACACAACAGAAAGGATGAGTAAATTTTTCACCATTTTACTGGTTGCGGGTGTGATTTCTATATTGTCAGCGCCTGTTTTTTTTATGCAGGCAAGTTTAATTACAAATTACAGGAACATCACAATCTTAGAATGCAATTATTTCTTACAATTTTGAGAAGGTGTCAATAATTGTGTACAGTCCATGGTTGTGATTTTGCGTGGAATGTGTCAAGTTTGGCTTTTTGTTGCTCTATTTTTTTGTGTCATACCAATATAAACAAAAGAAATAAACATGAGAATGCCTAAACATTTGTAATTGCAACAATTTTCTGGGCGAAGTGGTGCATTATCTGACAGACATGCAGGGGTGCCATTATTTTTGGACATAACTGTATATATTTGAATATACAGTATATGCAACACATTGCCAAAAGTATTGGGACACCCCTCATTGGATTCAGATGTTCCAATCACCTCCATAGCCACAGGTGTAAAAAATCAAGCACCTAAGCGTTCAGACTGCTTCTACAAACATTTGTGAAAGAATGGGTCACTCTCAGGAGCTCAGTGAATTCAAGAGTGGTACCATGATAGGTTGTCACCTGTGCAATAAAGTCCATCCATGACATTTCCTGGCTACTAAATATTCCACGGTCAACTGTTAGTGGTATTATAACAAAGTGGAAGCAAGTGGGAACAACAGCAACTCAGCCACGAAAAATGACAGAGCGGGGTCAGCGCATGTTGAAGCACACAGTGCGCAGAAGTCTCCAACTGTCTGCAGAGTCAACAGCTAAATACTTCCATACTTCGTGTGGCCTTCAATTAGCACAACAAGAGTGCATAGAGAGCTTCATGGAATGGTTTTCCATGGCCGAGCAGCTACATCCAAGCCTTACATCACCAAGTGCAATGCAAAGCGTTGGATGTAGTGGTGTAAAGCACACCACTACTCTAGAGCAGTGGAGACATGTTCTCTGAAGTAACGAATCACGCTTCTCTGTCTGGCAATCCAATGGACCTGTCTGAGTTTGGTGGTTGCCAATTTGGTGGAGGGGGGATTATGGTGTTGGGTTGTTTTTCAGGGGTTGGGCTTGGCCTCTTAGTTCCAGTGAAGGGAACTTCATGTTCCCAACTTTGTGGATACAGTTTGAGGATGGCCTCTTCCTGTTCCAACGTGATTGCGCTCCAGTGAGGTCCATGAAGACATGGATGAGTGAGTTTGGGGTAGATGAATTGGCCTGGCCTCAACCCGATAGAACACCTTTGGGATGAATTAGAGTGGAGATAGAGAGGCCTTCTCATCCGACATCATTGCCTGACCTCACAAATGCGCTTCTGGAAGAATGGTCAAACATTCCCATAGACACACTCCTAAACCTTGTGGACAGTCTTCCCAGAAGAGTTGAAGCTGTTATAGCAGAAAAGGGCGGGCCAACTCAGTGTTGATCCCTACGGACTAAAACTGGGATGCCATTAAAGTTCATGTGCGTGTAAAGGCAGGTGCCCCAATACTTTTGGCAATATAGTGTGTGTGTGTGTGTGTGTGTGTGTGTGTGTGTGTGTGTGTGTATATATATATATATATATATATATATATATATATATATATATTCCTCCCTGTGTTCGCGTGGGTTTCCTACGGGTACTCCGGTTTCCTCCTACACTCCAAAGACATGCTGGTAGGTTAATTGTCTCCTGTCTAATTTGTCCTAGTTTCATCCCTGGCCATGCGGGATCCTGCATGGTAGGGGTTGGGAAAGACCTGGCAACCTACCCTTTAAAATAATTCTTAAGAGAATTCATGGAAAAAGTCATTTATGAGTGACGGTCCATGCAATCGCCAAGGGTCGGATACGACTGAATGGATATATATATATATATATATATATATATATATATATATATATATATATACACACACACACACTGCTCAAAAAAGTTAAAGGAACACTTTGAAAACACATCAAATCTCAATGGGGAAAATATCATGCTGGATATCTATACTGATATGGACTGGGTAATGTGTTAGGAATGTAAGGATGCCCTATCGTTTGATGGAAATTAAAATTATCAACCTACAGAGGACTGAATTCAAAGACACCCCCAAAAATGTAAGTGAAAAAATTATGCCACAGACTGGTCCATTCTGCTGAAATGTAATTTTCAAAATGGTACTCAGTGGTTTGTATCACCCCCATGTGCTTGTATGCATGCCTGACAACATCAGGGCATGCTCCTAATGAGACAATGGATGGTGCCCTGGGGTATTTCCTCTCCGATCTGCACCAGGGCATGATTGAGCTCCTGGACAGGCTGAGGTGCAACCTGGCATTGTTGGATGGACCGAAACATAATATCCCAGAGGTGTTCTATTGGATTTAGGTCAGTCGAGTGTGGGGACCATTCAATGGTATAAAATCCTTCATCCTCCAGGAACTGCCTGCATACTCTCGCCACATGAGGCCGGGCATTGTTGTGCACCAGGAGGAACCCAGGACCCACTGCACCAGCGTAGGGTCTGACAATGGGTCCATGGATTTCATCCCGATATCTAATGGCAGTCAGGGTGCCATTGTCTAGCCTGTAGAGGTATGTGAATCCCTCCCAGACCATCACAGACCCACCACCAAAACGATCATGTGAACGTTACTAAAGGCAGCATAATGTTCTCCATGGCTTCTCCAGACACTTTCATGTCTGTCACATGTGCTCAGGGTAAACCTGCTCCTATCTGTGAAAAGCATAGGACGCAATTTCAGGACCTGCCAATTCTGGTGTTCATTGGCAAATGCCAATCAAGCTCTATGGTGCTGGGCAGTGAGCACAGGGCCCACTAGAGGAGGTGGGGGGCCCTCAGGCCACCCTCATGAAGTCTGTTTCTGATTGTTTGGTCAGAGACATTCACACCAGTGGCCTGTTGGAGGTCATTTTGTAGGGCTCTTGCAGTGCTCATCCTATTCTTCCATGCACAAAGGAGCACATACCAATCCAGCTGATGGGTTAAGGAACTTCTACGGCCCTGTCCAGCTCTCCTAAAGTAACTGCCTGTCTCCTGGAATCTCCTCCATGCTCTTGAGACTGAGCTGGCAATGGCACGGTTTGATGTTCCATCCTGGAGGAGTTGGACTGCCTGTGCGCCCTCTGTAGGTTTCAGGTATCACCTCATGCTACCAGTAGTGACACTGACCTTAGCCAAATGCAAAACTAGTAAAAAACAGTCAGAAAAGATGAATAGGGATAAAAATGTCAGTGGCCTTCAGCTGTAAAACCATTCCTGTTTGGGGGTTGTCTCATTGTTGCCCATCTAGTGCACCTGTTGTTAATTTTATTAACACCAAAGCAGCTGAAACTGATTAACAACCCCCTCTGCTACTTAACTGACCAGATCAATATCCCAGGAGTTTCATTGACTTGATGCTATACTCTGATTGAAAAGTGTTCCTTTATTTGAGCAGTGTATGTGTGTGTGTGTGTATGTGTGTATATATATATATATATATATATATATATATATATATATATATATATATTTTTTGAATCAGTGAATTTGAATTTGCCTTTTTGACGTTCATCAACAGAAACAGGGTTTTTCATGAGAAAAATGGATCTCAGCAAGCGATTCAACTCAATTGTGAAAAGCACAAAAGAACTGATTGCATACATATACACCCCTTTGGGTCATTGTGTATTACCTACATGTTAGACAGCAGTGAAAATAGTAAGTCTGTCTGGATAGGTCTCTGTCAACATACACATTTTCCCAATTTCCTTTTGCAAAACTGCTAAGGTGCTGTCATGTTGTGAAAAGCCTTTTTCAAGTGCAGCCGCCACAAGTTCCCTTGTGGATCTACAGTAAATACAAGTATTGCCATTCTAGAACATCAACAATTTTAGCCAGTTTTGGCTTTATGCTTGGTGTGCTTGTTTTGTTGGAAGACAGATCTTTTCCCTCAAGCTGAGGTTTCTTGTAAACTGCATAAGTTTTTGTACAGGATTTCCCTGTATGTTGAATTCATTCTACCCTCTCAAGGATTCCAGGACCTGCTGCAGAGAAGCAACCCACAGTGTCATTGCTGCCACCACCATGCTTCATGGTGGGGATGGTGTGTTTATGATTATCTTCAGTATTTGAATATATGTGTATGTATGAGAATGACAAACACAGTGTTTAGTCTGATGGCCACAAAAAACATAATGCTGCTCTCATTAGACCATAGAAACTTCTTTCAGCTGACTTCAGAGCCATTACTACTTTAATAACAGACACTTGCAAATACATACGTAAGCCACAGAGCCACGTCACGGCACCCTGATAATCTGTGCCGTGACGTGGCTCTGTGGCTTACGCATGTATTTGCAAATGTGTGCTAACTAAACCCCTGTTATAAACGCATACTGTTAGACAGGTTAATTTGGTTGTTGGCAAGCTGGCTGGCAAGTTGTCCAAGAACATTGTTCTCTCCCCTTCATTCGCTATTTGATGCCTGTTTATGTGTCCTTACTATTTAAGCCAGTTATAGACTTGGGCGGTGGCCATCCTGTATAAGAAGCATAGTTGTGAAAACTTTGAATTGCCTGTTCAAGCAGGAGTCATACCCATGCCTGCATTTTGTTTTTGCACACAATGTTGGTCAGAAAAAGAACCACAAAAGCCACCAGCCTACTATAAACTCAAAAGACCCACTTGTAACACCTATTATACTGTACATATTGTAAATACAAGACACTATACACTGTGTATCTTGATTCAAGCGTGTTCTAAAGGAGGGAAGGTAAAGTACATTTCTCATTTCTCTCCAAGATGAAGGTTTTAGGTGTACTTTGGGAATGTTTTCTATGTCTCCTTATTGTCTGCAATTACCATGGTGGAAAAAGTTTTCCTCCCTAACAATATAATGATCAAGTCAGGATTATATACCAGATGCATATCGCTTCCTGGTTCCTCCCCGGTGACAGCACACCTCCAGCATAAAGAATTTTCCCTGTGAGATGCCATCACCGTTACAAACACATTGGTCTTTCCCCAGTGGGATCCCACCTCTGGCGCACATATATTAATCTTTCCCCAGTGCCATCCCACCTCCAGCACATGCACATTAGTCTTTCCCCAGTGGGAACCCACCTGTGGCACACATACTTTGGTTTTTCCCCAGTAAGATCCCACCACTGACACACACAGATTGGTCTTTTCCCAGTGGCATCCCAACTTCAGCACATGCATATTGGTCTTTCCCCAGTGGGATCCCACCTTTGACTGACTGACACACACACACACACTTATTTACTAAAACTGAAGAGTGCAAAATAATGCTCACTTCTGCTTTACTAAATAAACCTCACTGAGTTTTTCCCCAGTGAGATCCAACTTTTGGCACACACACATTGGTCTCCCCCAGTGGGTCCCACCTCTGTCACATGCACACACACTGATCTTTCCCCAGCCAGATCCCACTTCCAGCACACACACATTGGTCTTTCCCAGTGAGATCCAACTTCTGTCACACACACATTGGTCTTTCCCAGTGAGATCCAACTTCTGTCACACACACATTGGTCTTTCCCTGTGAGATCCAACTTCTGTCACACACAATTGGTCTTTCCCTGTGAGATCCAACTTCTGTCACACACACATTGGTCTTTCCCAGTGAGATCCAACTTCTGTCACACACACATTGGTCTTTCCCTGTGAGACCCAACTTCTGGCACACACACATTGGTCTTTCTCCAGTGAGATCTTACCTCCAGCACACACACATTGGTCTTTCCCTGTGAGATCCAACTTCTGTCACACACACATTGGTCTTTTCCTGTGAGATCCAACTTCTGTCACACACACATTGGTCTTTCCCAGTGAGATCCAACTTCTGTCACACACACATTGGTCTTTC